GGAATCAACCTGGGGCGGCTGAATATCTCGATAAAGTCATCCCTGCATGCGCCAGGTTTTTTGTCGTCCAAGTCGTCCACGATGATGTCTGATTCCGAGCCCTCATTGAAATAGATGTCCTCGTCGTCAATGATGGATGGCACTGATACAGTAGCCTCTGAATCGGAGTCCACATAGAGAATTTCAGTTTGTTCTGCAGCAAGGCCATCTGGGCTGGCATCGCCGTCATTCCCACACTCGGAGGGAGTGGCGCATTCGGATCCAGATGATATGTTCAATTATAACAGTTATTTGAACCCAAACTTGCATAGCAACAAGCACAGTTCAAAGTCAGCACATACCACACATGAATCACCGCTCTATCAATTGTCAACAAGGGAGGATGCGCTGAAAAAGCTTACGATTCTTTTTCTCACAGAAGAAAAATCCGCTCGTATGTGGAATTCCGCTAGTTCCACGTTTGAGACACAGGATCAATGATCAAAAGTCATGCCAGCCCTGGTGCGGCATTGCCGGCAACCCACTAATGACTGTCTGCGTCTTCCGCAGCCCAGTGTCACCCCAGCAGGAACATTAATGGCCTTAGCCTTAGCCTTCGCTTTGCCCTTAGCCTTTGGCGTGGGCGCAGCTGGTTTCGGAGGGGCAGCCTTCGCCCGCTTCCGCTTCCGCCAGCGGAGCTGCTGTTGGACCTGTTCCACACCCAACGCCAGCCCATTGCAAGTTCAAGGCACGACCCTGACGAGACCTTGCTCGACACTGACTGCGGCTCGAGACCTTTGAAAGCAGCTGCAGAAGACGCGAGGCTCGAGACTCGAGACCCCCGAAAGCAGCTGCAGCTCGACCCGAGGCTCGAGACCCTGAAAGCAGCTGCAGCTCAACCACTGACTGAAAACACGAGGCTTGAGACCTGAACGTGTCCAGTGTCATATCAATCAATGTCAAAAATGTTGCCAAAACAGTGGTTCAAAATGCAGCAGAGCCTCGCTGAGGCCGTTTTTGCTATCTCGTTAAATTTCTTAAAGCGTCTGTCTATAGCTTTTTGTGTGTTGAAAAATCGGCGCATCCACTCTGATTTTACTAGCATTGTCATTGTCTGCCTGGCCCAGGCTGCAGGCTGTCACAAGCACTCTGCCAGTGCAGGAATCGCATTGCTGTTCCAGGCTTTTAATCTGTCGCCTTCTCTCCCCTGAATTGCTCTGAGGGAGGCCACAAGGCATGCTCCAGGGAGAATGCCACACTGGTACTTGTCAAACTTCAACTTCTTGGCAGCAGGAGGCACTGGCGCCCCAGGGGCCATGGCAACGCAATCAGTAAAGGGCAATCAATCAAAATGGCTGTCAGGACGGCTTGGCATTTTGAAGCCATTCCACATTGCAAGTGTGAACAAAGTGTGCACACAAATCACATTAACTTTCACTGACTGATCTGTCCAGTCCTATCTTAATACCCTTGTGTCAATGATTGGCATTGGGTTGGGCCCAGGACTTTGCAAACGAGTGCTGGCGGCCAAAAACCGCCCAAGGCCCAAGCAAGGACCACAAAGCAGGGTCCTTGCTGGTCCTTGGGGGTATTTGGCAAACCCATTAATATTGCCACTAATATGATAGTTGCCCCAGGATAGCGGATGATGACTGACAGGATGTCATGCGACAGACAGAACGCCCAGCAAAATCGGTAAAATAAGGGTGAAAATCGGTAAAGTAGAAAAAAAGCCTTCGGAGATCGTGCGTGTCGAGTGTGCGAAATGCAGGCGAGAGTGCGATTTGTCCCATGCGCGCGCAACCCTCTGCGGAGATCGTGCGTGTCGAGTGCGCGAAATGCAGGCGAGAGCGCGATTTGTCCCATGCGCGCGCAACCGGAGATCGTGCGTGTCGAGTGCGCGAAATGCAGGCGAGAGTGCGATTTGTCCGGTGCCCGCACCACCCTCTGCGGAGATCGTGCGTGTCGAGTGCGCGAAATGCAGGCGAGCACTGGCGACTGTGCAGTACAACTTTAGTACGCGGAGTATCTGGGGAGCTGGAAGATAGAACTGGTGACTTGGTAGTACAACTTTAGTACGCCGAGCAATCTGTGGAGCTGGAAGCTAAGAACTGGTGACTTTGTAGTACAACTTTAGTACGCGGAGCAATCTGTGGAGGTGGAAGGTGAGAACTGGCGACCTTGTAGTACAACTTTAGTACGCGGAGTATCTGGGGAGCTGGAAGAGTGTCCCACAAGAGTGTCCCACAAGAGTGTCCCGCAACAGTGTCCCAATAGAGTCCTACAAGAGTGTCCCACAAGAGTGTCCTACAAGAGTGACCCACAAGAGTGTCCTACAAGAGTGTCCTACAAGAGTGTCCCAGAAGAGTGTCCTACAAGAGTGTCCCACAAGAGTGTCCTACAAGAGTGTCCCACAAGAGTGTCCCACAAGAGTGTCCTACAAGAGTGTCCCACAAGAGTGTCCTACAAGAGTGACCCACAAGAGCTTCCTACAAGAGTGTCCCACAAGAGTGTCCGAAAAGAGTGTCCTACAAGAGTGTCCCACAAGAGTTTCCTACAAGAGTGTCCCACAAGAGTGTCCTGCAAGTGACCCACAAGAGTGTCCCACAAGAGTGTCTCAACAGAGTGTCCCATAAGAGTGTCCTACAAGAGTGTCCCACAAGAGTGTCCTACAAGAGTGTCCCACAAGAGTGTTCCACAAGAGTGTCCTATAAAAGTGTCCCATAAGAGTGTCCTACAAGAGTGTCCCGCAAGAGTGTCCTACAAAAGTCTCCCACAAGAGTGTTCCACAGGAGTGTCCTATAAGAGTGTCCCACAAGAGTGTCCTACAAGAGTGTCCCACAAGAGTGTCCTACAAGAGTGACCCACAAGAGTGTCCCAGAAGAGTGTCCCACAAGAGTGTCCTGTAAGACTGTCGCACAAAAGTGTCCCACAAGAGTGTCCCACAAGAGTGTCACACAAGAGTGTCCCACAAGAGTGTCCCACGAGAGTGTCCTACAAGAGTGTCCCACAAGAGTGTCCCACAAGAGTGTCCCACAAGAGTGTCCCACAAGAGTGTCCCACAAGAGTGTCCCACAACTGTCGCTCAAGAGTGTCTCACAAGAGTGTCCCACAAGAGTGTCCGACAAGAGTGTCCCACAAGAGTGTCCTACAAGAGTGTCCCACAAGAGTGTCCCACAAGAGTGTCCTACAAGAGTGTCCCACAAGAGTTTCCTACAATGTCACAAGAGTGTCCGACAAGAGTGTCCTACAAGAGTGTCGTGTAAGAGTGTCCCACAAGAGTGTCCTGCAAGTGACCCACAAGAGTGTCCTACAAGAGTGTCTCACAAGAGTGTCCCACAAGAGTGTCCTACAAGAGTTTCCCACAAGAGTGTCCTACAAGAGTGTCCCACAAGAGTGTCCCACAAGAGTGTCCTACAAGATAAGAGTGTCCTATAAGAGTGTCCTACAAGAGTGTGCCACAAGAGTTTCCTACAAGAGTGACCCACAAGAGTGTCCTACAAGAGTGTCCTACAAGAGTGTCCCAGAAGAGTGTCCCACAAGAGTGTCTTACAAGAGTGTCGTTTGGACATATGTAGTTGTTCGATCGTGTTTGCGTTCGGGTTCGTGGGTTCCATCTGGTTTTGCGGCGGAAAGGGTTTTTTCGGCGCTTGGAGGCTTCAAAGTAGCACAAAACGACGGTGCTTACACGCCTCCTCCAGGGTTACGCCTGATTCCCTGCTACCTTTCGTTCACCCCCTCCTCTCTCAAGTAGTAGTAAGGCCAGGAGCCCCTAGTAGCGTCCTTGCTCCTAGTAGCGATGCCAGGAGCTACTAGTAGCGTCCTTGTGTATATATATATATATTCTTTTTTCAGGAGCACGAATGTTTGGTGACACTTTTTCCCAGAATCTGACGATTTGACATCTCCTTCTCAATGGAATTATTGCGGAAGACTTTCCACCCCGAACTAATCTAATTTGTAATTTGCGTAGTATAAACTTTCTTCAGGGTGGAACTCCTCTGCCAAAATTTCACTGTGATCCTGTGTAGGATTAAAGGGCAAAGGGTTGCAGGTCATGTATTCACACGCTGGCTACCAACTGTTGTCCTGTCTGTGTATATACAAATACAACCACGAGTAACTGACACACTGACGCATTTGAGGCCACTACATTGGGCTTGTGCGATGTCGGCCTTTAAGCAATTTGGGTGGCCAGAGCGGCCACTGGTGTGCTTACATGGGCACGCGCTCGCTGAGAAGGCTCAGTCAGTGGTCAACAGTTGGGTCTTCCACTCCAAAAGGTTATATGGATTTCCGCCCCGGTAATTAAGACGACCAAACGATAACCCTTTTTTGCACGTAGAGTTTGGCTTAAGCACGGATGCATTGCAGAGACTGCGGGCTCCTGTGTGCCGGGGAGCAGGAAAGTCTCTGCACGTTTTGCCGGACGCGCAATAGGTTCTGGGAGATCTTGGACGATCTCCTGAGAGGCTGGGCTATCAATAGCCTGCGCATCTGGACGAGCATCCTTCAAGAAGAGGGCGACAAGCGTCAGGAACACCTCCGCCTGCAAGAGGAAGCAGGAAAGACAACCGCCCCACAGCAGCTTCTCCTGGTCCGGGGAGAGAGGAATCAGCAGGAGTAGAAGAGCGTCCAGACAAGACTCGGGTGACCCCAAAGCGAGAGGAAGAGGAAGCTACGAGGAGACGGCATTCCAGCAGAACCTGAGGAAGAAGGCAAGTTTACGAGCTCATCCAAAGGACATCATCGAGAGCGAGATCAGCGTTCAAGGAGGAGAAGCAGGACAAGGAGTAGAGATAGAAAGGATAGCAAGAGGGCGAGCAAGACTCGATCAAGGTCAAGGAGAAGACGCAGAAGGAGTTCGAGAGAAGAGCCAGCAGTTGATGGCAGCAGAGCCAGCTACCACCGAGCCGAGAGCTAGACCATCTGTTTGACCGCCGCGTAGCAATGGTATCCAGCAAAAGCTCTGAGGGCACACCTCTGCGGGGACCGCTGCCTGGATCACCTAGAGGCCGAGGGTCTAGCGCACGCCATCTCAATCCAGAAGCGGGTCGAGCCCGACCCCCTAGCCGGGGAGGCAGCGCGAGGAGCTTGCGCAGAGAGAGGACGAGCCCTCGAGAGGGATACAGAAAAAGAGAAAGCGACCTCCGATGGGGAGCGCTCGAGCTCCTAAAGGTACAGACGGCGGGGAGCAAGCCCTGGTGGGCAAGCTCCTAAACTTGTCAGCTTAAAGGGAGAGGACATTATGATTCAAGCTCAGACGGAAGAGACTCTTCGTTTTCATCGACTACGTGCCAGCCTACCAGCAGCTCTTTGGAAATGGAAAACCGTGATGGGGTGGCGTTCTCCGGAGCATATCAATGTCCTCGAGTTACGAGCAGTGCTTACTACTACGCTCAGGTGGCGCATTCTCAAGAAAAGGCCCTTCAAAACAAAATTCGTGCATATGATCGATAGTTTGGTATGCCTCCATGCCCTCTCGCGTGGCCGAAGCAGCAGCCGCAAACTACGGAGGACACTGACCCTCGAGGCGGCCGGTACGGAAGAAATGGTAAGAAGAACAACCGCGCAACTGGAAGGTAGAAGCAAAAGCAGCGCGTCAAGCCCAAAGGCGGGCCCTTGGACCTCTTCGCAGCCTGACCGTTCAGAGCAAGACTCGTGATAGATATTACAAGGCACTTGAGAAATACCGAAGTTTCCTGCGTGATGAAAACCGTACCTTTCCACGAGAAGCCGATCCTCCTATCCCACTATGTTGAGCATCTGTGGGAATCCGGGGAGGGAAGAGCCCTGGCATGTGATACAATCGCAGCTGTCCAAGACCATCATCAGCCAACCTTCAGAGGTCGTGTTCCGGGGGCGTGGAGACTCCGGCCTGGAGCACCGAGCGCTTGGACGCACTCCACGTGCTTGTAGGTCACAGCCTGATCGCAGACAAACCCCTCTTTGCACTGTCACTTCTGCTTGGTTACCATGGACTCCTACGCGCCGGGAGTTGTTGGGAGTTCACAAGTCTCATGTGGTGCAGACAGGACCGCGAAGTCCCGCAGTGATATCCCTTGGTCTGACCAAGGGCGGCAAGCGCGCTGGAGCGTCGGAGAGCATTACTATCCGAGAAGAGGAAACCCTTCGTAGACTCTGGCAATGGTTGAATACCCCAACAACTCCCTCATGTCTCTGCGGTACTCCCCAGAGCTGGAGAAAGACTTTTGACGACACGCTTCAAGCCTGCAACCTGGAGAGCTATGACTTCAGACCTTACAGCCTCAGAAGAGGAGGCGCTACTATGTATTTCGGACGACACCGTTACCTGGACCGTCTCCTAGTTCAGGGGAGATTCGGCAAAAACCGCTCGGATATACATCAATGAGGGTCTCGCTGTTTTGGCTGAACTTAGGTTAAATTTTAATGCCACTGCAAATGCCTATTTGCGACAGTACCGGGAATCCCTTACGTCCCCGCTTCAAACTCTTGAGCTTTCGCCAAAGGGGAGGCCAGGGGGACCTGGGGGGGGGGGGTCTGTATTGAAAAATCAATTCCAAGGGGGGGGTTGAATTGAATGATCAATTATGAGACCCGGACTCGCCGACACTTGCTTCGCAAGCCAAACTCAAGGTATCCCCGAAAGGGCTACCTTTCGCGATAAAGCTTTGAAGTTCTTAAAACTCAAGAGAGGCCTCCCTGCCTCTGAATCCCCCCATCTCTCCCCCGCCAAACCGGGGGGGGGTGAGAGTGAGCCAAGGATAGAGTGGCCCCGGGCCCTGCCTAGCCGAACATCCGGGCCACCACTCTTGTCAGGACTCTTTCTGTCGTCTTTTTGCCGCCGGCGATGTGAATTCGAAAATAGAGATATCATTTGTGGTGTTCCTTGGAATTGATTTTTCAATACAGACCCCCCCCCTTCCAAATTCAATTCTCTCCTGGAGAACGTCTTCGTGAGCCTCTCATGATTTCAGGATAGTTGAAACCCTCTTGAACATTCAGAAAGAGTGCATATGAAATTCTAATCACGAAAGGTTCCCCGAGGGGATCGAAAGGTGTTCCCCGAGGGGATACATACCTAGAGTTTGTTTTGTGAAGCACGTCAATTCTCTCTTGGGAAACGTCTTCGTGAGCCTCTTAATTCAATTCTCTCCTGGAGAACGTCTTCGTGAGCCTCTCATGGTTTCAGGATAGTTGAAACCCTCTTGAACATTCAGAAAGAGTGCATATGAAATTATAATCACGAAAGGTGTTCCCCGAGGGGATCGAAAGGTGTTCCCTGAGGGGATACATACCTAGAGTTTGTTTTGTGAAGCACGTCAATTCTCTCCTCAAAAACGTCTTCGTGAGCCTCTTATGGTTTCAGGATAGTTCAAATCCTATGATGCTCCGATTCAATGCTCACCGATGATCTGACCCATGGGGCAAGTTTGTTTTCCTAAGAATCTATTTGAACATTTCGAGAGCATATGTTTGAACATTTAGAGTGCATATGAACATATATTTACGAAAGGTCGCCTCCGCGGGGATAAATCACCATGTCGAACCTTGCATTTTTGTTCCTGCCTCTCGCGTTCTCTTCTCTTCCCGCTGTCCTACCTTTCGTGTCTCCCTCCTCTCAAGTCCTTTGACCAATTAGGTCTTGCGTTGCGAGCAAAAAAGGTAAAGAGGGCCGGGAGTCTTTGGATTTCCGCCCCCGGTAATTAAGACGACCAAACGTTAACCCTTTTTTGCACGTAGAGTTTGGCTTAAGCACCCGCTGCCACCCCCCCTTCTGCAGGCACGATGGGGGAAGAAGAGGAAGAAACACCACAAATGACGTCCCTTTTTTCGAATTCACACCGCCGGCGGCAAAAAGACGACAGAAAGAGTCCTGACAAGAGTGGTGGCCCGGATGTTCCCTGGCTAGGCGGGGCCCGGGGCCGCTCTATGATCCTTGGCTTTTCTCACCCTGGTTTGGCGGGGGGGAGATGGGGGGGATCAGAGGCAGGGAGGCCTCTCTTGAGTTTTAAGAACTTCAAAGACTGTTCATTTCGCCTTATCCTTTGACCAATTAGGTCTTGCATTGCGAACAAAAAAGGTAAAGAAGGCCGGGAGTCTTTATATATATATATATACTACTAGGAGCAAGGACGCTACTAGGGGCTCCTGGCCCTACTACTAGGAGCAAGAACGCTACTAGTAACAAGAAGCTACTAGGAGCAAGGACGCTACTAGGTGGGATTTTTGATGCAGAATATTCTGGATTGCGGAGGCTGGGTTGCGGATTGCGGAGGACTTGAAGTTGCCGATTAGCCATGAGGAGAAGCCGGCGGATCAATCTGCTCATGTCCATCCTTCTTTTCCAGTGTCTCTCAAGTCCATTGCAGATCGTAAGCGACCACTTGAACCTTCCACCACCTATAGACCTCAAGGTTGTTTCATGCAACTGGAGAGTTGGAAACTGTCTGAAGAGCAGATGAACAGAGGAAAGTAAGGCCCCTTTAAACTTTAAAGGAGCCTTACCTCTCGTTTTTGATGTTTTCTTTTATATACATCTGTGTGCAAACCCTTAAGTGCAGGAGACGCTCTTCAGCACGCCGGAAGACGTGGATGCGCTCATGACCTTATTCAGCAGTTATCCGCCAGAGACTCATGAGGAGAGACTCATGACACTCTCTGATGCGTTGACCGGATATCACCTTCTCAACATATTTCAAGCAGAAAACACATTGCACAGGCACATACTGTAGAGAGGTGAGGGTGCCATGCACGTGCTTGTTGTACCTTGCCAAGCCAGCAAAGTTTTTACGCACATATATATATATATATACGTTTTCCCAATTCTTGGCATTCTATAGCGTTGTTGCAACCTCAAATCACAGTCACTGCGTGGATGCACCATGCGAGGGGTCATTTTTGTGAATCCCGTCCGAATTCTTATGGAAGAGTCCGCTCATTGGAATGTGATCAGGTATCCCAAGAACAAGGTCTTCATCCGACGTGGTCATGGGTTTCTTGGATCTTCAATACTTGCAGAACATATTCTTTCGTGGCAGTGATTCAATGGATTAGGATATTGGTTTGTTAGCTTGGATGCTGGGTTGGAGGGGGTCTTTGCACTACCTTTAGACCCCAACCTGTTTGTTGGTGGTTGTTCAAGGTTCCTGATTCTTGCAGACACTGTTGACTCTGCAACGCAGGACCCCGAATCAAGACGAATCGAGCACTGTTGCTTTGTCCCTCACCCAACAGCGGAAGGCAGTCTCTTTTTTGGATCATCAGAAGCTACAAAACATTAAGGAATGATACAAAGAAGACAACAAAGGGAAAGGGCTCCATCAATAGGGCCCCTGCGAACTTACCCAGCCAGAGGCTACACTTTAAACTTTTCACTGTGGTACCCTTTGATTTCCAAGGTGTGAAACACATGCGTTAAGTTCCTCACCTCACAACAATCATGGTCATGTTATCTCAAGGTTGATAGCCACGAGTTTTGCAGTGAACTGACCCGCGCAATCAGTGCGGCAGTGCTTCTCCTATACGGTAGAGTCAAAATCATTGCAACAGGTTTCCAACCTAGTAATGCTCCTAGTAGCGTCCTCTACCCTCCCAGCGCGCGCGCGCGCGAAAAAGCTCCTAGTAGCTTCTTGCTCCTAGTAGCGATGCCCTTTGCTCCTACTAGTAGTAGCGTCCTTGCTCCTAGTAGCGATGCCAGGAGCCCCTAGTAGCGTCCTCCTGCGGTTCTTTTTGGCTCGGTGGCCTTGAAATGCAGCCTGTTGTGTCGCCGCATGTCGCCGTGCTGAGCAGTGCGCAGGCTTCAAAGCACGGGGAAAATTATTTGTTTCAAATCATCTGATAAGCTCAAAATCTAGTGGCGGCTGATTTGAAAGAGAGCTGGGGACCACCGTGGTGGTGTACTAATTCTCCATGTCTGTTCCAATGGACAAATCAATGTTTAAATTATTGATCTGAAAAAACCTGAGTTAAGATCCGTTTTATAGGCAAAATAAAAGAAAGGTGCTGTGTTTGATATTGAAAATCAATCTACAAGGGAGTTGATTGGAAACCAAATAAGCATCAATAGTTTAAGTTTAATTGATACGTTGTCAGCATCAATGTTACATCAATCTTGGAAAGGAAATGCTTTAGTGCAAGCTATGGTAAGTGTCAGTGTTATGTGAGTTGTTTGGCTTTAGGCTATTGGCTTCATATTTGAGCTATGGTACAACCAGCTGAATTGTAACTGTCACGTTTCCCATCAACATTGATTGAATCTCCTCTTTAACATGACACAACATATCTATTTGTATCTGGTGTCCAGTTAACATCCCTTTAAAGTCCTTTCTAGCATCAACTAATTCATTGGTAATTAACTCCAAGTAGAACTTATTGAGCAAACTGGTTTGTATTTGGATTCCGATCAAGATCCCTTGTAAAGTCTGTTTCAATGTCGTACAACCGCCGGTTTCGCACATGGTCACCGATTAAACATTTCTTTGGTAACCCTTAATGACAACTATTGATGTTTAGTTGGCGTCCACTTGGAACTCCTTGCAGAAACGTGTTCAAACTCAATTAGTATGCGGTTGTTCAATGAACAACTATTCTCCCAAAACATACATATTCAACTATTGCTGTTTAATCTGTAATTAGATCCAACTAAGTTATTGGTGTTCAATGTTTTCTCTAATTGAAGTTCTCTAGATTTGGGTCTAAGATGAAATTTTGCGTTTGACACCAAAGGGGCATGTTCATGTGGGGAGCACAGTGCAGCCAGAGGTGAACATGACAAATTTGCAAACCACACTTTCGCAGATGGGGTTATAAAATTGATGTTTTTCCTTTAACAATGTGGATACACTAGGGGTTCCTATGGTAGGGGTTAAGGCTGGGTTTGATCGAGGGTGCTCACATCTGTGTGCAGCTAATCGGCTGCCATTTGCAGCCCATTCATGCCTCTCAAAACCTTCGAAGTGCATTTCGATTGCGCAGCTCGCAAAAATTTACCGCCTCAAGAGGGTGTGTTCCTTCCTTAACTGCGCTCTCGTTGTGGTGCCGTGTGCATTTTTGACTTGGTGGTCACATTTCGTGGCAAGCACAAGAGACACCCTCTTGCCAGAAATGGACGACCGATGCTTGCCCCCACAACCCTGCCACGTTGGGCAGCTTTCTTGCACTATATTTGGATGTGTGACAAGGTCCTTTCCCAGCTTATGGAAAACGCTATCACTATTCCCCTGGGAAGATGTTTAGTTTTTCTACAGGACTCTCAAGGAGTATGTTGAAAGCGGACTGTATTAAAGATGTCCAAAAACTAGCTGTCAGCTTTGAGGGCCTTCAAGTTGAAGGGCTTCTCACCAGCCTCTGGCTTTGTGTCAGGAGTTGAAAAGCCTTCAGCGGCACTTCGAGAAATGACTCCTTGAGAGTGCTTCAGAGTAGTTAGCAACTTGGCATCCAAAGAGGAGGCACGTCCTTTGCAGAAACAAGCGCGCCAACTGGTTGCAATCACCCAATTGCTCAGTCAGTAATATAGATGTTGTTTGTGCTCCCTATACCAAGTTTATCGCAACATACATAGCACATGTTGTCGCAGGCACGGGGCCAGAGAGGGAGCAAAAAAGGACTCCCATGACATGGATGAAATTAAACATAAAACCACAACATTGCAAGGACTTCGCATCGAAACATTTTCACTGAGTATGTGAGTGGGGTTGGAAGCTGTACTCCACCGGGGGCACACATGAGAAGGCTTTGAATTGTTTGTTCTTTGCAGACAACCAAGGAACATGGAAGGTTCATCACAAGACGACAAATGTGCATGACAGTAGTTCAAAAACCACAGCCAAACTATGATTGCATTGCCATAGCTAATTACGGTTGACCAGGCATAGACTGGCAGCAAACATCACCCTGTTCTCTTCCTTCTGACGGGCCATACCTCGTCCATGCGTAGCACCGAAGTTGAAGAGCAAGGAGGGGCAATATGGGTTGTTTGGGCATGCGAAAATCCAAGGTTTCTACATGTGAAGCTGAGAATCAGGCATCCAAAGACCCAACAATGACCTCATTGTAGCATTACAATCAAAGGGATCAGCAACCTTCCCACATGGAAGCAGAGGTTGCGGTTGTGAGAGACACCGGTGGTCTCCAAGCCAGCATATCAAGATGACAATCACGAGTGCGGCTGAAGATGCTGAAGATATGACCCTAGTTGGGCGCAAATTTGTATTCCACGCATGGAGACCGAGTCCTGCCCTTGTGTCAGGAAGAAGCCACGCAAAGCGAGCTGAGACTTTCTCCGAATCTTGATGCACATGAGATGGCTGTTGCAACAGGTTTTTGGGTCAGTTCAGTTTTGTGAAAGATTGCACTTGTCATGGAATCCGTTTGTGCCTTGAGAGTGGCCTTTTGTCCGCCGGTCACTTTTCTCTCAAAGGCCTAAAGCCATTTAGACTACGCGACTAGCCTTCGCCGGAAAACCGCTTTGCACTGCAGACCCGATCCGCGTCGGTCTGCTACAGTGGCACCGGAGCTGGCGTTCCACCTTTGGGTGCTGGGCCGCTTTCGCTTCCTTTGGGCACGCGCCCTGGCTTGCTGCGCTTGGCTTTCGAGGACTCCGCTTGCATTGTGGCCACGCTCTTCATTGAGTTTGTGTCGGGCATTTTGCTTCCGTGTCCTGACATCGATCTCCGTGGACGAGGTTGTGACCTTGCCTGGACCCCGCTTTTTGTTGTACTCCCGCAGGCGCAGGAGGAACCTTCACGGCTGGTGGTCCGAATTCACCTTTTTGCCGCTCCGTGTTTGAAAGAAGTCTCACTACATCCTTGACCTCCATTTCGTCCCTGTCTTTGCCTAAGGCATCATGTCGGACGAGAAGGATGGGAATGGCGGCGCATGGGCTCGCGTCCCAACATGGGACGGATCGCCTCAGACATGGCGAGGATTCAAGCGGGAGATGGATTGGTGGTGCTCGGCCTTAGATTTGGCCTCTACGACCAAGTACAACTTGGCAGCTCGATGGTTGCTACGGCAATCGGGGGTGGTACGTCAAAGAGGAGAAGAATTTACACCCCAGCAGCTTGAGCACCAACCAGCGGTTACAGCTGAAGACCCCGAGACGAAGGAGCAGGTGGTGATCACTGCGGCCAATCCCCTGGCCGGCATTCAGAAGCTCATGAAGGCTCTCGAGGAGATCAATGGCAAGACCACCTTGGATAAGAGAGGAGAGCTGAGAAACCAGTTCTACTTGGAGCTTCGCCGACGACCAGGAGAGCGCATAGCAGAGTTCAGCACGCGCTTCCGGACACTCGTGTCCGATCTCCGCACCGAAGGTGTGCAGCTGCCTTCTGGAGAGCTTGGGTGGTTCTACAAGTCCAAGCTTGGATTGGACGCCTTGCGGACTCAGCTCCTCGAGACGGCTTTGAATGGAGTTGAGGATTACGAGAGCATTGAACGAGAGGTGCTGCGCTTGTTCAAAGACCTTTATGCTCAAGATCCTCTCAGCCGCAAGCCCTTCGGAGGAGGAGAAAGTGGACCCCCGTTGTTGAAGCGCTTTTTGAACCAGCATCAACAAGGACAAGGAAGTCCGAGCCGAGCTTCATCCTACGCCCCCTCGATGACAAGCTCTGCACCTAGATCCATGCGATCCTCTTCATCGACCACGACCTCAAGAGCCAGCACGTACAGGTTCCAGAAACCTTTTGGTGGCCTCCCCAAGCAGGCTATGGTTTCCGAAGCTGAGGTAGAGGTCGACCCTGAGGAAGAAGATGAGCTTGTGGCCGACGGTGGAGATCCACCTCAGGCGACTTTGGATGAGGTGCTTCAGATGGAGGCTGAAGGCTTGGCGCAGGACCTTGAGGAAGCAGCCGAATGTGGCCTTGACAGCGACACTTTGCAGCAGATTGAGGAGTCAGTTGAAACTGCTGCAGAAGCTCTTCTCACGATGCGTGAGGCCAAGGTCAAGCTCCAAGAAGTGAAGAAGGATCGTGGCTATGGCCGTGCCTCGCCTGCTGACCAAAAGGGCAAGATGAACCCCAAGAAGCAGTCTTCGAAGCATCTTTGCTTCGATTGCAACTTGCCAGGCCACTGGGCCGGTGATCCTGAGTGCACAAAGCCTGGACAAGGCCTTGGTCGAAAGAACAAGCCGGTCAAGCAAGTGAAGGTCACGGAGGCCTTGAACACCGAAGTGTCTCCGCCTGTGATGGAGGATGGAGGCCATGAAGTTTTGGCAGTTGGAGCCTTCCCCATGACGAATGAGTTCGTGGCAGCTTTTGAACAGTCTCACCTCCATCCACAAGAGGTGAATGTTGCTGGCAAGCTCTCTGCCGACAAAATGCTTGTTGGAGCCCTTGATTCAGCTTGCAACCGCACGTGCACTGGGACGGAGTGGCTCAACAACTACCTCCGTTGCCTGAGAGATGCCCCCGAAGAAGTTCGTGGTTTGGTCAAATCCCACAAGGAGTATGAGACCTTCAAGTTTGGCAACGGTGGAACCCAAGTCAGTGTTGCACGGTGGCGGCTCCCCATGCAGTTAGATGGCTCCATCATTTGTTTTTGGACTTCATTGGTGCCGGTTCCTTCACTGGGGTTGCTTTTAGGTCGTGATTTTCTAGAAGCAATTGGAGCTGACATGCATTTTGCCCATCGCACCCTTCGATGTGAACACCTCACGGGCAAGCCGATTTCCTTGAAGCAGCTGGCTGCAGGTCATTTCCTCCTGCCATTGGTGCCAGCAGCCTGGTCAGGTGTGGGGCCACAGCGTTGGAAGCGTTTGGGAGTTGATGGTATTTTGGAACTGCAGTTGAGTCCTGTTCAATGGCTTCGAAAGAAACTGTCTTTTGGTTCATCTTTGAAGAGCAGTTCACATGACCACCTTCTGACAGAGCAGAGCGTTCGTGTGGGCCATTTGGTTTGCGCTGTTCTTCACTCACCTGATGTTTTTGGCTCATCGGTTCAAGCTCAAGGTGCGTCCATGAAGCCGGAAGGGACGACTGATCGAAATTCGAGTTCCTCTTCCTTGACTACTTCACCCTCCAATGTTCGGCGGATGGATGACTGCAGGCAACCTCTTGGGAGGCGAGAGCGCCAACATGGACGTGAAGGTCGGAAGATGGAAGCGGATGTTCCTCCGCGTGGGAGAAAGGTTTCGCTGGGCAGCAAAAGGATTGCTCCTTTGGCTTTTGCAAAGGCCCTACTTGCGATATCTGCCATTGCCCTATCCCTCAACTACCACGACAGCAGCTTGGTTGGCTCAGGTGCGCAAGCAGGTTTCAGATGGAACCATCCCTCCAAGGTATCTCAAGAACTGCCTGGAGAAGAACCTGTTCACCATGGGCAACTTGGCAGAATGTCGGCACCTTCGCAACCGGGTGGGGCTCAGGACATCGTTCATCGAAGATCCCGTCCTGGCAGGAATGATGGCAGCGCAGACGACAAAGGGCATAACAGCCAAACTGAGGAGTGCTGCTCAGAAGGAAGCCAAGGAGCTGGCAAAGAAAGCAGAAGCCAACGGAAGTCGAGAACAAGAGGCTCGGGCACTCATTGGCCCTCGAGGAGGTCTTCCTACCCTTCGAGCCGATCTGGTAAAGTTGGCTGCTTTGCTTCATGTGGACCTGGGCGAGAAAGACTCCGTGGCTCAGATCAAAGAAAAGGTGAAGCCTATGATCGAGATCCTCAAGAACAAGAAGCCAGCGGTAAGCCCAGCAAAGGCCAACACGGCCGAGGAGATTTCAGCGAGCTCTTCTTCACCGCCCGCCAGGCTGCTCAACGACAACCCCAAGAACCTGGCAGTTCAGCAGCAAGAGATGAGGGCTATGATGGAGCAGATGTCTCGCGAGCTGGCATTGCTGCGCTCACAAGTGACTCCGGAGATGGAGGTGGATCTCAGCTCAGAGCCAAGTCTGATTCCAGACTCGCCACAGGATGCCTCACCCGTGAACTTCACCGAGGCCGAGATTCGGGAATTGAATGGTCAGGCCTACGAGGAGCTGTACGGAGCCAATTTGACAGCTCAGTTCGGGGACGACATTCCGGCCGAAGTGATGCAGGAGATCCGTCTGGGTCTCAGGGATGGAGCAGGGATGTGAGCCGCCCTCATGAATTCAGACTTCACCAAGATCTGAAACCTGGTCAAGCTCAACTGGTCGCTCAAGCCTGGAGTCAGCATGAACAAGATCGAAAGAAAGTGTCACAATCTCCAAGGCAGATGAAAGAGTTGCTGGTGGCTGACCATGAACAGGAGATGTTGGACTTCATGACCGAAGAGACCTTCTTCCAACCGTTTGAATTGTGTCTTCCGGATGACAAGGTTCTTGCCGGTTTTGAGGCCCTTCAGAATGAGAGCCAGCCCAAGAATGTCTTGATTTCCAAGAATGTCAAGCCCCCTGACAAGGAGCGGTCCCTTGTGTCTGAGGTCTACACCACTTCGCAGAATGTCATGCGAGAGGCTGAACGAAGAGGCCACAAGGTGGGTCCGGCTATGTCGTTGGACAATGGATGGAACTTCCTTTTGGCTGAGCACCGAAGCCGGGCAATGAAGGTTTTGGAGGAGGAGAAGCCTTACTGCGTGGTGCTTGCTTTTCCATGTGGGCCTTTCAGTCCACTACAGTACCTCAACACTCGAGGATTGACTTCCTTGGATCAACGTCAAGCTGATGGTTTGGTCCTGATGGAGTTTGCGATTGAAGTCGCAAAGCTGCAGATGAAAGGTGGTCGACACTTCATTATGGAGAACCCGCTCCCGAGTTTAGCATGGAAGACACTCCCCATGCAGAAGTTCATCGAGGAGCACAATGTGGAGATAGCAGTGTTTGACCAATGCCGGTTCAACCTTCGCAGCCTTTCTGGTGAGTTGCATAGAAAATCCACACAGCTGGTGAGTTCAAGCCCCAGGGTGATTGCTTTGTTGGATGGCCTTCGTTGCAAGCGTGACCGCAGCCATCAACCTGTCCTGGGAGGCTCCAAGATTACAGCTCATGCGGGCATCTACCCGAAGCCGCTGGCACGCGCCTTGGTGAAGGGGATCATGGAGCAGTTCGATTTGGACTTCCGGCCTAAGGAGGCCCTGGCAGCTCAGACGGGAGAAGCGGAGGAGGACTTTGGTGATGGCCTACTTGCGTTGGGCGCTGAAGAGATTTCTGATGAAGAAGTTGGCGATTCCCCTCAGACTGACCTCAAGATCAGTCCTTCCTTGAAGAATGCCATCAAGCGCCTACATGAGAATACTGGCCACAGGAGCAATCGTCGCTTGGCGCGAGCTCTTGCAGTTGCAGGTGCTCCTGTGGAAGCTATAGCTGCTGCCAAAGCTCACAAGTGCTCTCTTTGCCAAGAACGTGCACCTCCGAAAGTCAGGAGACCAGCATCACTGCCGACTCCAAAGGACATTTCAGATCAGGTTCACGTAGACCTGCTGGAGATAGAAGATGCTGCAGAAACACGTTTCTATGTTGCCCATGCCACGGACTTTGCAACACGTTTTCAGGTTGCTGAGGTTTTGCCGGACAAGTCCTCCAAGTCAGTGATTCAGTTCTTGACTTCAAGATGGCTGGCTATGTTTGGTGCTCCCCGAGTACTGGTGGCAGATCAGGGCAGAGAGTTCGTGAGTTGGGAAATGGAAGAGTGGGCAAGTTCAGTGTCCACAATGCTGCATCACATTGCAGTGCAAGCCCCATGGCAAAACGGCGTGGCAGAGAGATCAGGCAGCACGCTCAAAGCGATCCTGACAGCTGTCATTCGAGCACACTCTGTGATTGGTGCTGAGGAGCTTCAACGTGCCCTGAGTGAGGCGGTGGCCGCCTACAATCAAGATGTGAATGACAGTGGCTTCTCTCCCTACCAGGCGACATTTGGACGACAGCCGAGGATGGTTGGTGACACTTTGGGTAGCATTGAGTCTCGGCTGGCTGAGCATTCGCTCATAGAAGGGAGAACTTCACATGCAAGGTTGGTGGCTTTGCGAGAGACGGCCAAGGTTGCGATGATGCGACTCCACTACAGCAAGGGACTACGCCGTGCTGAGTTGGCCAGAAGTCGAAGCACCACCATGGAGCAAGTTCCAACACCTGGCACAATCTGCTACTTCTATCGGCCCCTGAGGTTCAACAACAAGACCAGCCCAAGTAGAAAGAGGTTGACTTTGAAGAGATGGCATGGCCCTGCATTGTTGGTGGCCACTGAAGGACACGCTTCAGCGTTCTTGAGCTACAAAGGTCAGTTGACCAAGGCAGCCATGGAGCATGTCAGAGTGGCAAGTGGGCTCGAGCAGATTGCTGCTGGCAGTTGGCGAGACGCCATTGAAGAAGTGGTTGAGGCAGCGCAGCATGATTTGACTTTGCGAGGTCTTCCAGCTGCTCCACCTGTTGCTCTACCAGAAGAACCAGAGGAGACAGCGATGCCGATGACCCCTGCACTGCAACCTCCGGTTCAACAACGTGGAGTTCCGGGAGCTGATTTGCCTCCAGTGAGACCTGAAGAGTTGGTTCAAGTGGCGCAGCAAGCAGCTCCTATTCCCTCTATGGTTGGATCCTCTGCACTTCCATCAAGGAGGATCAGTGATGTGACAGGCATGGGACCTGCACCTGGCTCACCCGTGCCTGAGCTCATTCGACGTGCTGGAACCGCTGGCAGCCTCCTGGCAAGACAGATTGCCCAAGCCAGAGACCTGGCTGAGGAAAGTGGTGGAATGAAGCGACCAGCTGAAGTCGATGTGGAAGCATTGGCTGAGCAATCCGCCTTTGATGGTGCTCGCTCTTCACCTTCAGCACCTTCGGGTGTCAACGAGTCGCTGGTGGTGGCTTGTGAGAAGGGTGAGGATGAGTTGATGAAGCAATTTCAGCATGGCAAGGAGCATCCTTTGCGAGTGATCGCAAGCCTGGCTGACATCGATAAGCAGCAGCCTTTGGATGCCAAGGTCAAGGACCATGGAAGCTGGGGAGGACGATGGGATTTGCCTTCTCGCTCCGAATGGCAACTTCACCAAAAACTTGGATGGAGCTGGCCTACTGGCTCGCATGATGCTGAGGCCCTCTTGGCCAGTGCTGCGCATAAAGAGCTGTTCTGGAGGAACATGAGCCCGGAGGAGAAGATCGCCTTTCGTGAGGCAGCCAAAGATGCCTGGAAGGTTTGGGAAGACAACCAAGCCATTGAAGTGCTCCCCATGGCTGAGTCAGAAGCAATTCGCAAGCGGCTCCGCTTGAACAAGGAGGTGGGCAAGATCTTGACCCCACGCTTTGTTTTCACAGACAAGCACAGTGGTCTCCGCACAGCTGACCGACCTCTACCTCTCAAAGCTCGAGCAAGGGTGGTGGTTCCTGGGTTCAGAGATGTGCTTTCATTTGCAATTCGCAAGGATGCCCCCACTGGTTCTCGTTTGAGTCAGCACATGCTTTTGATTTGGACTGCTAGCCACAACAAGTTTGTGAAGGGTGAGAAAGATGCATGGCGTTTGGTGAGCGCTGATGTGAAGAGCGCGTTCCTGAAGGGCGACCCCTACATGGCAGGTGATCGTGAACTCTACATGGAGAACATGAAGGACAGCGAAACTTCAGATGCACCTGGCTTGCCTTTTGGTCGCGCCTTGGCAAAGATTCGGAAGGGTGTGTTTGGCCTCTCCGATGCACCACGCCAGTGGTATCTTCGACTCAACCGGGCATTGCTGGAGCAAGGTTGGGAACGCTCTCCCATGGACTATGCCTGCTGGCTGCTGTGGTCTGAGGACAAATCCACCTTGGAGGGAGTGATCATCTCCCATGTGGATGATTTGTTGCTTGGAGGCGGACGCCGTGCACAAGCTTTGCTGCAGGACCTTGGGCAGACCCTTGGTTTTGGAAGTGTGGAGTATGATGACTTCACCTACTGCGGGAAGCGCATTCGGCAGCATGATGATGGTTCCATCTCCATCTCCATGATTGAGTACCACAGCAACCTACAGCCTGTCTCCATAGCAGTGCGCAGACGTGCACAGACTTCGGCAGAGCTCAACGACAGCGAGCGTCGACAGCTCAGGGCAATCCTGGGATCTTTGCAGTGGCTGGTGGCACAGCTGAGGTTTGATTTGGCATATCACCTGAGCGTTTTGCAGGGTGAGAAGCCTACAGTGCAGACACTCATGCGTGCCAATGCATTGCTCAAGCGCTTCAAGAAGCACTCACAGTTTGAGTTGAGGTTTCGACCTTTGAAGTTGGAGCAATGTGGCATAATGGTGGTGACCGACTCTTCCTTGGGGAACACCAACAAGGATGGTGGTGATTCTGGCAACATCCTGGAGAAGATCTACTCCCAGAGTTGCTACTATGTCCTGGTCGCTGACAGCGACCTGCTGGCTGGAAGAGAAGGGAGCTTTTGTGTTCTTGACTCTAGAAGTCACCGCCTGAGCCGTGTTTGCCGCTCGACGTTTGCAGCTGAGCTCTTAGGAGCAGAAGAGGGCATGGATGCTGGCATGTTCTGCCGTGGCCTGCTGGCCATCTTCAAGGGCTTCCCAGTCCAAGAGAGGATGCAGGATGAGATCCTGGAGGCTGTTCCTTTCGTGCAGATCACTGACGCGAAAGACCTCTATGACAAGGGGAACAGTGACACTGCCACGTATGGAGCCCAGAAGTCCCTTGGCTTCACCATTGGTTGGATCCGCGCCACGTTGGCTCGGGCCTGCACTTCGTTAAAGTGGACCAGCGCAAGCAATATGTTTGTGGATTGTGGGACGAAGGACATGGATGAGTCCTACCTACACCGCATCCTAGCTTCTGGTCGATGGTGCTACACGTTCAACCAAGCTTACGTGAAGCAAGGAAAGCCTAGCAGGAAGCAAATTGCTTTGAGCTCCTCCTCTGCAGCCTTGGACGGAGAGCCGCTGAATGAGGCTTTGCCAGTTTTCGCCTTCCTCCAACAGCTTTCTGAGAGCCCCGGTTGGCACCACAAGGGTGACATCGTGACCCATGTAGCTCACCATGCTAGGTCCTATAGGAGCCCCGTAGGGAGATATGAGATTGAAAAGTACCCCATTCGGACGACGTATGCTCGATTTGACTTGGACACCGGAATCTCCCAATGGCGGATCCTAGAAGATCATGTGACGATGAGATCCTTAGCCAACAGACAAGCCCTTCTTTCAACTCCTGCTCGCGTGTTGATCAGCATTTTCACGGATTCGCATTCCAAAAGAAAGATAGAGCAGCTGTGAAAGATTGCACTTGTCATGGAATCCGTTTGTGCCTTGAGAGTGGCCTTTTGTCCGCCGGTCACTTTTCTCTCAAAGGCCTAAAGCCATTTAGACTACGCGACTAGCCTTCGCCGGAAAACCGCTTTGCACTGCAGACCCGATCCGCGTCGGTCTGCTACAAGTTTCTTGAAGCGGGATCTTCTCACATCTAACGACTAAGGAAAAATGCCAGCGGCTTTAGGGACGCCCGCGCTTGTTTGGGTTTGCGACGGACGGTCACTCGTACCACCACAGCAGGTTCTCATGTTCACCGCCCCCCAGCAGCTTGTTTTGGCTGTTTGTTCCCAGTGACGATAGGGCATGATTTGGTCTGTTAAACAACTTCACACACGACATCCACTGCTTTTTCCGTCACTTGTAGTTCTGTTGGGGTTGGCAGTCTGCAGACATTGGCCAACGCGAAGGCCAGGACACCCTTGTCGATGATCCCCAGCCATCCAAACACTTGAACATATCCAAGCCTTGCCCCACTTTTCTGATCTCGAAGGACCAGTTGTCAGCCTGATTTCCAGTCCATCGTGCCCACTTGGGGCAAATGTGGACAGTCACTCTGCATCTCACAACATTGCCCTCCACCCTCGAGCAGCAACCGATGCTTTATCAGCCTGTTAAGCCAGGCAGCTTCAAGGATTGGGTCGTGGCGCCATACGTCATAGAGGATGAAGGTAGCTTGGCTTGAAGTTTACCATGCTCAGTTGGGCAAAAGTACCTGCCTCAGTCTATTGAAGTTACAGAGGCTTCACAATGCAGGATTTGTGGGTGCTGCAGCATGTATTGCGGTTGCTTGTCACATATAAAGATCACATAATATATGTATATACTCCCGAGTATATACCTATTAAAAACGGGCCCCGGACTCCCGCAAACGCACTTTCCACCGAGGTCACGCAAAACCGCATGGCACAGCGACATCACCTTTCAAAAGCTTTAGTTGTTAGTCTATTGAAGAATAACTATTACGTATTCTAAGAAAGGTTTTTGTAGGGGAAGATCTGGAGGTTTTTTGAATCTTTGATACGAGTTAATTAAAGGTTCTTGTATAACATTTCTTTTTGGTTTTGAAGCCCTTCGCAGGTGACCCTATTTTGGACCACCCCGACTTCAGGGACCCCTATTTTAGAAAATGCGACCGAGGTTCTTATTAGGGGAGGGGGTGGCCGCGTGTTTTTTGATAGGTGGACAGGATTTTATATATATATATATATTTATATCACGAAAGCCAGCCGATAGTCTAGGCTGGAGTTGTCGGATGGGCGAGTATAGGGTGTGTGTTTGTGTGTGGTCCCCTCCCCCTGAATTATCGGCTCAGGGAGCCATCGTAGTCGCAGTCGTCGTCGGTAGTAGGTAGTAGGTAGTAAGTAGTAGGTAGGTGGTAGTAGTAGGTAGTAGGTAGTAGGGTAGTAGTAGGTAGTAGTAGGTAGTAGTAGGTGGTAGTAGGTAGTAGTAGGTAGTAGGTAGTAGGTAGTAGTAGGTGGTAGGTAGTAGTAGGTAGTAGGTAGTAGGTAGTAGGTAGTAGGTAGTAGGTAGTGGGTAGTAGTAGTTACAACAAGTTTAAACAAGCGCAAAGAAAAGGCTAGGGACACAGGATCAAATTAATAGGGGGTAGTAGTGCAGATTATTGATGGGGGACCGGCCCTTGTGAGGGGTACCCTTTGTGAGCTTGTCAAATGATTGTTTTTAATTGTTTTTTAATAAGGCAATTCATAGGCCCTGAGCCCTAGACATTTTTAAGGATTTCATCAAACATGTAGTAGGTAGTAGGTGGTGATGGTGGTGGTGGTGGTGGTCGTGGTAGTAGCACGTAGCAGAAGCAGAAGCAGAAGCAGAAGCAGTAGCAGAGCAGCAGCAGCAGCAGCAGCAGCAATGCTAGTAGCAGTAGCAGTAGCAGCAGCAGCAGCAGCAGTAGTAGTAGTAGTAGTAGCAGTAGCAGTAGCAGTAGGAGTAGTAGTAGTAGTAGTAGTAGTGGCCGTAGTAATACGAAAAATTGACCTGGTTGTGGGCTCGGATTAACTGGGGGGGGTTTCTGATGCCCAACTAGAAGATTAGGGGGGGAAATAGGCACGAATAATATTTTTAATTTGGGCAATTTCTGGTGGGTTTGTGTCTTCGGATTAACTAGGGGAGGTTTATTAATCGTAACTTGACATTATGGTCTTTGGGGTGACGCCGAATAGTGCATCATTAGCATCACAAGGGGCTCAGGAGGCTATTTGGACTGTCTTTGGACAAGGGGTGGGCTCATGTCGAGGACAGGAAAAGGGGGACAACGTGCTGTACATGCCAGCTACTTGCGGCAATCCCTCGAAGGGGGAGGCAACGGTTTCCGCCAACACCGAGTCACCAGCTGAAAAGTTGATCAAATGGAAGTCATCGCTAGGAGGTTGCGAGCCATGGCACACACCTTTCTCCAAGGCGCTGAAGAAAGGGGCGAAAGAAACACGTATAGTACAAAAAAATTGATACATATATATAATATAGTTACGAAAGCCAGCCGATAGCCTAGGCGATGGGATCTCCTCAGTAACCTTTGCTCGATGTTAGGCAATCGCATGATGTTTGCAGTAAACTTTCATCGGTCAACTCTTGGCAGCACGCCGCGTTTATGAGTTCATCTACAAGACCAGAAAAGCAAATGGTAGGGGTGCTCTTCACTGTCGAGTTCACCCTATAACCACATTGATGTCTTCTTACGGAGGCTGGTTTTCGTCCCCTCCCTTCTCAGGTACATATATATATATATATGAAAGAGACGAGAGGTAAACATTGATAAGCATTGGACCGTATAAGGTGAAGATGGCCGGTGCAGCGAGGAGGACCGGAAAGAAATGCGTGAACGGACCTAGGCATCTGGGCTTGTAATGTGAGGAAACCCCCAAACCAATGCGTGTGTGTTGAGTATTCTTTTCCTTCACTCCTTTCATGGCTCTCTCTCTCTCTCTCTCTGCGCACCCAGTCAAAGATTAGTTGCCTTCCACCCAAAAAGGGATGGCTGTCCACTTGACAGGATGTGAGTCAATTGATGCAGCCGCAGGCTTGGCTCCGGGGCTGGTTTTTGGAATGCTTTGTAGAGCTACCCAACCTGGTGAGGTGTATGTGCATGTACTGGCAACAAACGCATGTTTTGGGAGTCTAGAGCAGAAATGAATGGGATATATGGCTGCGAGTTAGCGTGTCCCTGCTGAGTGTCAATGCAGTTCGTAGATGGATGCCCTTCTCGTACATAGAGCTAGGTGCTGTCCCATTTCCTTTTTTTTAACTTGACCAAGTTGCTGTTTGATCTGCCAAGCATTGTGGAACAGTTGGTGGGACTGCTGCAGGAGAAGCCATTGGTACATCGATTGGTCAACAGCAATGGCTTTGAGGCCATGAAGTGGAGCCATGAAGTGGAGCAGTTCCAGACGCGCCAACTGGGTGCAGCAATTCATTGCGGTGCAAACCTTTGGGCCCTACGACCACAGACACACATGGCGAGCAATGCCAACATCAATGCTGTGTTCTGTTTATTCAGCGATGCCCTTGTTACTAGTAGTTTTTTGCTACTAGTATCGATGCACTTGTTCCTAGTATTAGTAGCGATGCCCTTAGCTACCAACTGGATAGTACACTTTTCACAGCTTTTGAACATAACTATTGCTCATGCCAGTGCCGCTGTAGCGCCTGGTTCATTGGCGAAGCAAGATAGACATTGCAATCGTCTCTTGCGAAGGCCTGCAGCATGATGTCCATCATTCTATGCATGTTTTTTCTTGGTACTACTCTCAGTTTTTCTACCTGTTCTTGATGTTCTTGACAGCCTGTTTGGCATTATGGCGTTCAGACCTCTAAACAAGGCAGCGTTCTAGATACCGTACAAACGTTGTTTGGCAGTAGTTGGTAGATGGAGTACTTCTTGACTTAGGTGCGGATGCGGCTTGTTTCAAGGATTGTAGTGCCTCTCACTCAGCCCTTTGTCGAGAAGCTTTTCAGAGGCTCCAGAAGATGGTTGTTCTGGAGCTAAGGCAGTACCCAATGTCCTCATTTCAGTGTGGGCGGACTCACATTCCCCCAAGAAACTAATTAATGCTATGGCTTGTTGTCAACAGCAGAATTCCTTTACTCCTGCTTCAAGAGACCAAGGATGCAACCAAGGCGGGTTGCTGTTTGAATGGCTAAGAACCGGAGCCGGAGATTTCAACTTTTTGTGATTGGTCGCCCTGGCCCTTCGAAGTGGTTGATTGAACTGCACCCCCCCCCCAAAAAAAAAAAAATATATATATATATTTGCCAAACTTATTAGGAGCAAGGACGCTAGTAGACAACCCCTTTGCCTTTGCCAGGTCTTCTACGACGTCATGAACCAGTTCTTTGTGTTCATGTTCTTGCTTGAATGGATTCTTCGCCAGATTCCTGACCCCGTTGAACTGAATGCCATTTGTTTTTGGATTTGCGCAGGGTTTAAAGCTTTTAAGCTGTTAAACAGCCTTGAGTGTTCAGTCTTCAACAAGGGTGAAATCAGTGAAAGGGGAGTGCGCTTCAAATACACCTGAGAAGTCTGAGAGACGAAAGCGGTGAGAGACTGTCATTTGCCGTCTTCACTCAGCTTCGCTCCGCTTTGCTTCTCAGGTGTTCTGAAAGATGGAAAAAGATACTTTATACCAGTGAAGGCCGAGGTGTGATTTCTTAATTTGTGTGCCTTCACGAAAACAAAAAGCTTCCCTCTTCATTTGCGTAAACCTTTTCCATTTTTGTCAACAGTTTGAAGTGTGGAGTAGAATCAAATTGCAGATACAAGAACAATCTCTTCTAGCTATGAGCACAACCATCATGTCGCCAGCATGTTCTGGACACTGGGATTGTGTGGATTTGTGGCATACTTCTGGGGCATCTTGGCAATGAGCGCCTGGAGTCTAGGAGCAAAAGCAAGCCCAACACAGCCTTCTGAAAAGCATTCAAGACCAAGCTTCGACAATTTGCTGGTGATTTCGATTACCCTTGCCCAGTGCTTATGCTTGACAGAAAGATGCCGTAGAACAAGCTCACCCAGGTGGATCATTCCACTCGCGGCTGCAGATGTTGCGAACCTAGAATCAGCCTTTGGCCACAAACATGCTTGCACGTATGCAGCTTGTAAATGAGCTCAGGGGCAGAAGAGTCCGATCAGAGCTTAGACTCAGCAGGCAAATTAGGTTTGGAAGAGCCCAAATCGTCTGGCTACTGAGGATCGCACAGTCCTTGAATGTCTTGAGAAGCATGCGTGCCACGAAGCCCAGCAGGTTTGCCAAGGCTTTGTGTTTGTGTGCGCATTCATGACGGAGTGACAAAGTGCCACAGGAGGATCATTTTCTGCGTTTGGGATTGAGATGGTCATGTGTGTACCGCAAGTCCATGTAAGAAATGGTCCAGTCAGATGCCTTTGCTGGGTGAGTTCCCGGCCACCCAAATTATTATGAGACACATCCCGGACATATGTCAATATGTCGGCGGATTTTGGTTCATTGAGACACAGGGCGCCAATCTCATGTTTGGTAGCGATACTTGATTTATCCTGAAAAGCTATTCTGCAGAATTGTCCATGAATCACTCTCAATCTCATAATGTGGTCAACCTGTGCCGTTCGTCACCTAAGACCTTGCGCTTTTTTGCCTTCCTGAAGAATTTCGAAACCTTCAAGGCAGGGGGCCGCTGGCTTCATTCTTTTTTTTACGTGCGAAATGTATCATCAAACAAGGACGACATAGGAATTGGACTGACATTGACAGTTGACATGTTCAATTGCGGAAGAACGCATTATATTTTTGCTTCCTCTTCTTTCTTCAGAGGGATTCAGAAGCATTGATTGAAGCGAGATTCAGCGAAACGATGGACTCTGAACTATGAACCTGTTGACTGTGACTATGACCTCTGCGCGAAATCGGGCAGATGCTTCTAGCTGGCTTTCTGCGAACCCAAGCAACGTTGGCAGCCTGCGTAATACTTCTGGCCATGGTTGACCTGATGTAGACAGCTTAGTCTTCCAGGCGCGCGCAGCCAGAGACTTCATAGAGGGGCTTCTGAGAAACTCTGTGCGATCGAAGTCCGACCAAGAACGATGAGGTTTGGCATCATTGCGCTGGAACTCATTGGCAGATTTGAGCCATGGGGCTTAGCCGAAAGAGGCGAACGTCGGCAGGGAAGGGCATTGACAGAGTGGCCTGTAAGGGTGAAGGTCTAAAGTTTTTGGAGGCGTATTTTGCAAACGCTTTGCTTCTTTGGACCAGATGTTCTTTGTAGGAGAGGTTCCATTTTGCTCAATTCGCAAAGCCGTAACCATGCAGGTAGTGCTGCGTGGAGCTTTCAAAACGGACTGTTGGATACCCAGTACGAAGCATTTTCTCCAGAGAGTCATGGAGTGGAGTTGACATTTGTTGTGGTGTCAATGTACCATGATGTACCTACACTTGGGATTGTTTCTTCTGAATTTAGAGAATGCCCAGATTGCCCAGGATTCAGTCCTGCATGGGGATGACACGCTTCATCTTTTTCGACAATGCCCTTGACATGATGCAGGACTGGGGTTTGCCGAGTCATTCTTCACAAGTGACGCGTCAATGTACTGTGTACCCTCCCTCCCCTCCCTCCCCTCCCCTCCCTCCCTCCCTCCCTCCCTCGCTCCCTTAGCATCCGCATTCCTGTTTTTGAGGGGGAGCTACATGCGGGCTCCGCTTTTCCACGTCCAGCTTTTGGTTTTCTTGCGTGCTGAGTGCAACCAAATTTGGCCAGGAATTGATGGAAAGACAACCTTACATTTGGATATTTTGTTTCTTGCACATGGCGATTTCTGCGTATGTCATTCTGAATTTGGTTTGCAGCTTAGAGTTGTGAGGCTTCCTGAGCTAGTGAGCTAGTGCCCAACTATATAGTTTTGTTTTCACCGAACACTTTCCTGTGACTGTGAGGGCCACGCAGTTGGCATTTCTATTATCCTCTTACTTACACGCTTTCTTGAGTCTTTTCTGGCACTGAGGTCACGGCGGTGATTTGTGAAAAGGCCCAGTCCATGACCCAGGCATTTCGGGGCCTCAGGGATTTCAGGGCGTGGGAAGGAAGAACCAAACTTCATCGTTCAAGCATGCTCTCGGAAGCCCACTTGGGGCACTGAACACAGCGAATAGAGCTGCAAGAAATGCGGACTTGCTCAGGACAACCTGGCAGAGCGAGCGAAGGAGTTGCAGGAAGAGGAAAGAAGAACGCTTCAGGCCGAAGGATAAATTGGAAAAGCCTATAGCTGACATGCTGACCAAGCTGACTAGACCCTTGGAGCATACATGGAGTATTGAGGGGATAGCTGCAAGAATGAAGCCCAATCAACTGTTGCAATCGAGTTCCAGGTCGATTTCAGTGTGAACAAATCCATGAAGCATCATGAAGCCATCTTATTGGTTTTGCAGTTTTGCATGTGTTTTCCTGACACGAGAATGCCCGCATTGAACTGCAGGTCAGAGTATTTATAGTAGCGGCGGCAGGATGCTTTCTAGATGGGGGCATGCGGTGGTCTCTCAACAAAGCCAATATACTGTCACTTCTCCAAAAAGGAATACATCCTGCATCGGCTGAACTCCAAGAAATACGTGCGTTATCGTGTGTTTCTTTCTGCTACGTGCGCAGCGCCATCTGACAGGAACTCAGAAGCCTTTTCTTGAAGCTCGATGCAGATGGAAGTGGCCAGGCAACGTGCAGTTGATGCGAGCATACTTACCATGTCAGTAAGTAAGTAGCGCAGCTAGCCTCAGGTCACAATGGAGGAGTTTGACGCAGCCTTCAAGGTCCCTGAAATCAGGCAAATGCACTGGCTAAGACTTTATTGCAGAGTAAACTTGTGTGAAACTCCTCAAGTTCCTTGTATTATTCCTATCAAGAGCATACCGCAGTTCCATGTCAAGCAGTGAGCTGGGTAAGCTATCTGTTTCTGGCAAGTTGACAATTAGCGCAAAAACAATTAGCGCAAAACCTTCCCTTTGACTCCAAGGGTTTCACACACACATGCCAGAGTGTGGTCGAAAGACATGGCCAGGAAACCGATGAGTCAAACATAAATCAAGTGTTGACAAATGTCTAGAGACACTATGCTTCCCGGAGTTCTGCTAAACAGATTCTATGATACTACTACTGTAGTAGAAAAACATAGAAAAACACGTTTATTCACCAAACAGTTTACTGTTGGTGTTTTTACTAACATGGGCCGGCCACGATAGCCGTGGCCGTGCAGTCCGCCCTTTCTTAACCGCCTTGTCCGGGCCTTATCCGGTCCCGGCTTTGTGTGTCCTGCTTGGCCGCGCCGTGGGCAGTGTTTTCTTCTCCTTGTCCAGGCTTTGTCCGGATGTCGTGTGCCTTGTTTGTTCAGTTTGTCCGGGCCTCGTCCGGTTCTGTCCTGCTTGTCCGCGTTGCCGGCCCTCTTGTCCGGGCTTTGTCCCCTGCTTACTAGGAGCAAGAACGCTACTAGGGGCTCCTGGCCGTACTACTAGGAGCAAAGGACGCTACTAGGAGCAAAGGGATTTGGCCATGGAGCTTTGGGACCAGGAACAAGTTTCTCTTGCTGGGCTTTGATGAAGATGAAGCGAAGCATTTGTTCAAGGCAGGGTGGTGTGATTCGCTTGGATTTGGAGTGACATATTGTGCGAGCCAGTTATCCTTCCAATTGCTGATTCCACTGTCAAATATGCGAGGGTGCTTTTCAATATCTGCTGTAGTGCGATTTACCAGGCTATCCACTGTTACTTTGTCTACTTCGTAGTTTACTTTGTACGACCTGTCCAAGTTTCGGGCTAGTTCCAAAAGGTCAGAGAAAGAGCCTGGTCACCCAAAACAAGATTTGGAGACCTCAAAGGCCTTCTATACCTTTCACTGTCCTTCGAAGATTGATTGAAAGCAGAGGTCCTGGATGCTGATGGTGAAGGCGCACTCAGTGTGTCTGAGTTTACAAAAGGCATCATGGCTGAGAAACGAGCTGTGGAGGCCAAACCTTGTGGACTGCTATATATAAGGCATCCTTTGGACATTTCAAGATATCATATGCGTACTTTCCCGGGAAGAACGGTGCCAATGCCAACAACTATCAGACTGTGTGTATTTGTATTGGAGGGCGGAATGTAGGTGCGACCCGCATCTCCTCGAGAAATACTTTTTGTTGAGTTGCACAAATTGTCCACTAACGCTGTTTGTAAGCCTTCAGTCACTTTAGAAAGGCATTTAATCAATGTGATTAATGTGGTCACGTGGTGGTGTACATGTGCATATTAACCTCACGAAAAGATGGGCACTGCAATCGAGACGCAAAGATTGGTTGGCAACATTTTGGAGATCATAAACAAAGTTGCCAAGTCATTTAGTGGAGCAGAAGGGACCTTTTTTAGATTCTTTTGGACAGCAGCATTGTTTTGCTGTTAGCCAACTTGCTGAAGAGACTCTGTGCCAAGGTATGGCCGAGGTGAAGGGTGAGGCCGCATGAGATCTACGCTTGATCAATTCACTGCCATGAAACATGGCCCAAAATGCAGTTGTTTGCCTTTGCCTCATACCCAGTACTGTGCTTTTGTGTGTCCTGTGTCCTTTTTTCGGGCGCAATGGTAGAATCTTCTGAGTTTTGCAGGACATCTCATTTATCAGAGGCTACGCTGATTCAAACCATCAGACCATGGCTTGCAAATTGGTAGGCAACTGCCAAAGGGATGCTCATAGCAAAAAAGAAGGCGCCTCTTGGGGCACAGTTGGTTTCAGGTGATGGCAGGTCAGTGAGCTGTTCAGAGGAAATGATTCCACCAAAATTGCACCGTTGAGACACGGTGCAAGTCAAAGCCTTTAAAACAAAAGCTCTACAGGTGTGTCAGTCTTACCTGCACGGATGAACGATCCTTTGTAATCCTGGAGGCTGAGCAGTTGGAGAAGCTTGTGCTGAAAATCTTGCCTCAAGATGACAGTGTTGAAGGCGAAGCATGTAAATGTAATCGCTGCAAATAGCTTGAATTGCTTGCATTGGTCACGTAGAGGAACCCCCTGTGGAGATGCATGCCAGGCATTGATATATACATATATATATATATAATCTGGACTCTAGACGGGATGGATGAAGGCTTGGCTTGTAGCAACTGGAGTAGCCACGGTTTCTACCCTGAAATGGGGGACTTGCATGATCCGCCAGGTGAATCAAGGTCCTTGATGTTCCTAGTCTAATGCACTTGTCGCTTCGACCTAGAACCTGACCTTGAGCCTCTAAGAGTGAGACACGGGTGACAACGGGTGACTAGGTGCTGGGACATTTGATACGGCTGACTTGCCGGCTATTGGAGGCCAGCGCTCTCAGGTTGGAGGCCATCACACATAGGAAGCCATCGCTGTTAGGAGGCCATCGCTATTAGGTTGGAGGCCATCGCTCTTAGGTTGGAGGCCATCGCTCTTAAG